CTTTTTGTAAGTTCAGGTACCAAGATGAAAGCTGTGAACAGGAAAATCTTTTTACTTAGAAACCAGAGGCCATCGTCTCATGAGACTAGATGCATAAACAACAGTACATCAAGTACCTAAGTAGCATTTTTTTATGATTATTTTACCTACATTTTCTAAAAGAGTCAAAATATTTTCTCGCTAAATTAGAAAGCTGCATTGAGAATGTTGCTCATCCTGGCAGGTTTCAAATTCATAACTTTCTATAGCAGCATGCTAACCACAAGGCTGTACGTTGCTAGGAGAAAAGGAAGAAGACTTYAAAGTGAGAGAGACTAATGAGAAAAAGCATCAAAAATGCAGGATGATTTGTGGGCTCACAACACAAAAATACAAAAGAAATTGTTATACAAAAGCTTTGATCCTATAGTTAATCATACACATTTTTATTCTTCTAATTCTACACTGGTCATAATGATTTAATTTAAATAAATTGTTTTGACCATAGAGACTTTCAAACTAAATTTCAAACTAAATTTCAAACTAAATTTTTTAATGTTTGAATTAGAAAATCATTCTCTCACTTATTAACTTTTTGGATTCCCATTAATACAGAATTTTTTGCTTCCCATTGACAAACTCCACAGAAACAGCAAAATGTTTTCCTGAACATTTTTTCTAGTGATGCAAGATTTGAGCTTGAAACTCTCCAGAGTGAGGAAGGCACAATACTCAGTCCTTTCACTTCTTGCTTTACAGTACACTATTAGACAGTATCTAATGGTAGAAAAATTTGCCTTCTTCTTTCAGAAGCTGTATTTCCAAACTCTTGCATGCTTTATGAAACATTTTTGCATTGTCAGTGCTTGCTTTTATGTGGGTTAGGATTATCCTTCTTGGAACAGTTTCTTAAACAAAATGTTAATTGAATCCCATGTTCTCCATTCCTCTTGCACACAACCAGAGGAGTCTGGGACTGGTTTGCAGATGGGCTCATCATTTATGGGTGCAACTGAGAACAGAGGAWGTAGTGGGAGAAAAGTGCTATGTGCTCTGAAATCAATCAATTCAATGTTGGCTTTTTTTCTTTTATTTCTCTTTCCAGTTTACCCCTCCATTGTAAAATAGGGCTGTTATAAAAATAAACCTGTTACTATTTTGTGAGGCACATACCGAGTGTAGTGGTGAACAGTGCTGAGGGCTTATTAGGAATTACATCTTTGTTGGATTTGAACAGTGTAAGGCAAGCAAAACATGCTACTATCCACTGAAGGAGGGATTAAAATATTAACTCTTTGCTTATTAAGTGAATCCCATTCATTTTGAGGGCTGATTAACATGGWCCTGAAAAGAGCCATTGCAATAATGTAAAATCTCCATTATAAACTGAAAGGAACTGGAAGATATATCACAAATCTTTGCACTGGTATTTTCCAAGCACTTTGTGGCTGGTTTGTAAACCTTAATTATAGATTCATTTTATAGATTTTTATCCCCTAACAGTTTTGTCTTAAGAAATGAAGATCAAAAAACCTGCTTTAAATATCCACTACATCTATTGACAATTTTGTCATTYGAGCTCTAAACCAATTTAATATGCATGTTTCCAAGCAATTTCAAGCAATCAGACAGTGTTCTAAAAGTAACTGTTAACTGTAAAACACTTTTTTTCTTTTTACAGATACAATATAAAAAATTGAACAATTAGGTAAGTACTTTATAACATGCCCTGTCTAACCCTTCAGTCTTCCTAATGCCAGTAGGACTATCCACATAGCCTTATTTATACACAGATGTACTGTACAACTAACATGAAAGCATGTTCTTTAGCAACACASCAAAACCCCAAATCAGTAAAGTAGAATATAGTTATTATTACACAACCATAATATCTCATTAAATAAATCTCACAATATCTAACAGAGCATTAACTTTAAGAATTCAAGATCATCTGGTTTAGTGTTTAGCTCAGATGTAGAAACAGTAACTGAAACTCCACCAAAAAACAAACCCAGCAGACCTGAATAAGAATAGCAGTACAAAATTCATGAATCAAGCTGAGGAGATGGGGAAAAAATTAAAAGAAAGACAGGAAGGAAGGAAGGAAGGAAGGAAGGAAGGAAGGAAGGAAGGAAGGAAGGAAGGAAGGA